CCGGGGGCGGGCCCCGCGCTTCCAGCTGCCCAGGGAGATGGGGAGCAGCTTTTATCGCCCGGGAGGAGGCGGGCGGCGGGACCAGGCGTCCCGCCGCTCCAGTCCTCCGGGGCGAGAAAATCCCCGTTTGTAACTGCGGATCCGACGTAAGTCGGATCTGCGTAACTCGGAGACTGCCTGTAGTTGGGATTATTTTTTTCCATTGTGCATCACTTTTATCAACATTAAATTTAATGTATAAGATGCAAGAATAGAACTCTAAAATCTTAATATACTTGGTCTGTAAATTAGTTCTTGTGCAACATATGCAGTTTTTTACATGCTATAAACTAAGTCCTTATTTACCCTTTAATTCCTGAATTGTGCTTTTTCAACTTTTGGGAATGAGCCAAGCTTGGAATATGTCACTTCTGTGTTGGTGCTAGTGGCATAAAGATGTTGGGTATATTTGTGCATGTCTTTGTGGTGCTTTGGCCTGAGCATAGTAAAGAAATGTACTGTGGAATAGGGATGTAAGCGGTTAGTCAACTAGCAGAAGCTTATCAATTAGTACTATTAAGTAGTTGCTTCCCTCCCTCCCTCCGTTGCTGCTCTGCATTCATTATAAAGGACTACTCGATTAGGAATGTAATGGAATTTTAACATCCCTACTTTGGAATAGATTTTTAAGTGGCTTGTCCAGGATCTGGGCTGCTAGTTGACACAGGCCAGCATGCCTTTACATGAATACAGTGACGAAGAATGTAATGTACCTTCTTTGTCTCTCTAACTCTAAAGCTAGCACATCTGAGAATTAATAGTTCTGACAATATGTAATGCTGTTTTTGCTTTTGTTTGCACACACTGAAATCTTTTTTTTTTCCTTTTTTTAATTTCTAGGAGTCAAGAAGTCTGCCTTTGCAAGGAGGTAACTAACTTGGTTCACTACATGTGTGCTAACGTTAAATACCTTGTAAATACCTGCTGAAAAAACGTAATGTGTATTAACATTAAGAGTCTGATTCACATGCCTGTTCCATCTGACTCTAACCCTGTTATTGTTGGAATTTGTAGGGGAGAAGGGTGCATATGCTGCAATGCTCAGAAGCTATTAGGCTGAATTAAAGAACTGATCAAATTAAGGTATTTGGAATCTATCAGTCTAGACTGAGCCTGATTCACTGTTTATAAACTTCTGGTATGACATATTTTATCTTAGAGTAACGCAATAGCACAAGATGTTTCTTTATCTCCATTAAAACTTTGAGGCCAGATTATTTGTAATAGCAAAGAAACTACATGCAAGTATGGGAGGGTGCCTTCAGAGGTGGTGCAAACCTCACTTTTGCATGCCTTTGATCCTAGTACCACTGTTAGACACTTTAGTTTCCTTGGAATAAACTAGATAGTCTCTCGAATGAATGGGTGCTACTAGAAGTTCCCCTTTGCTAGTGTGACTCTCCCATCATGATTCTGCTAGCTCTGATACTAACTGTGCTGCAACTGGAAAAATAATGCCCTATGTCTAGAAAAATCATTGATCCATTAAAATATGAGTGTCTGAATTGGCAAAGAAACAAATATGTACATGTACATTTAAAGATGTTTACTAGAGACAGTAAGTTATGGAAAGTACAAGTGCAATTTATTCTGTTTGCTTCTCTGATACAAGATTTGAGGAATTGCACTGTATTTACCATTTCTCCTCCTATCTGCTGTTAAATTATTTTTGTGTATTACATGGAAGAGTGCCTGTTTGCCAGATTCCCCTTTCCTTTCTCAACAAGAGGGGAAAACTAATACATTTAAAGGCATCTAGTCATGCAATAATTGGAGTATAAAACTATTTATTCATTTTGGTTTAAGATTAACAAATTTTAAAACGACAACATTTTTTCCCCCAAACTGAGGTGGCCAACCCAAGGCTCACGAGCCACATGCGGCCC